GCAAGGTGCACAATGTATTTCATGTGTCTCAATTGATAAGGTACATACCTAATAAGTCACATGTGTTACAACCCAAAACAATTGAGTTAGATCAAAGCTTAACTTATGAGGAATGACCCGTCAAGATTCTTGACAGTAAAGTGCGTAGTACACACAACAAGGAAGTTAAGATTGTTAAGGTGCTATGGTCTAACCAAGAATATGAGGAAGCAACTTGGGAAGCTGAGGATGAGATGAGAAAGATATACCATGAGTTGTTTAAGGTATGTTGAGTTACAGGGACGTAACTCGTTTTCTTTAAAGGGGGTAGAATGCGGTAGAATTTCGCGCTTTTTTCCTGAATTCTCATTAATTTTAGTGTTTTTTGCACATTTTTAATGGTTATTTAGAGTACTTTTGGTTTCAAGAAGACATTAAAGGTAAATGTATGTCAAAAAGAGTATAACAATATTACACAAAACGAGGAAAAAGGTTTTCAAAAGTTGGTATTCTTTCACTCATTTAGTGTGGGTTTTGTTTTTCGTCACCCAAGTTTCGGGGATGAAACTTCTTTAAGGGAGGTAGACTATAATACCCCGTATTTTATACAGTTTATAAATTTAAAGTTTTATTTTATAACGTATTTAAATCATTTGAAATGAATTATTTATGGTATTTTAATATTTAAAAAGATGTATTTAAATTAAAAACCCATTTATTATTTATTTATATGGTTTGGAAATATTTTATTTTTTTATTTGTAAACTTTAGGACACATTTAAATTATGAAGGAGTTTTAAAGTCAATTTTTTTTAAAATAAAGTCAAAAGACCACTTTGAGTGGATGTGGGAATCATTAAGGTTAAAAAGGGAAAATCAAGTAGGAAGTGTCTTAGTACACATGAATAAAATGTAATGTGGTGCTTAAGTGCACTTAAGGTGTTCTAAACACTGAGGGATAGGATTTGCGGTGCATTATGCGCTTAAGGTGTTTTAACACCAAGGTAGTTTATAAAGGATTCAACATTTAATTAATTGTGATCACTAATTATTCAAGAATTAAATTGGAATGTTTGATTACTTAATTGAATTGTATTGATTGATTGCGTTGTGGATTGAGAGTCATCACCAAGTCTAAAATGTAACTAACGTAAAGTGAAAGAGATTACGCAACAAAACTCTTAGAACGTATATACCTCAAGTATGAACATATGGGGGAAGTTATACGACTTTATATTTGACTATAGCTTCTACCGGGAGTTTAAGACGCTATATTTTCCTTTTTAATTTATGCGTAGGACGTTCGTCACTCACAAGTGACATTTATGCCTACCTGGTTAGCTCTCGGAGTAGTTTACCTCAATTTACTTAGGACAGGGATTTGGTTGGAAACTCGTTCAAAGCGTAATCAATTAAATGAATGATTAGATTGTCTATTGTATGAGTTGTATGCTTGAAAACAGGTGCAAGAAGGTATGTTGTGTGATGCTAGGTTGTACGCATGTTAGTATATTTCATTTACGCTTATGTACTCAACATTGCTGATTGTGTGTGTTTATATGTTTGTTTGGCCTTGTCTTTATCTTTGTCCTACGATGACCCATTTCTAATGGTGAGTGGTGGGGACAAAGTAAAGAGAAGCTTTTCAGGTGATGCAACATATTCATGTTGGGGCATGAGTGAAGAGAGAATCTTGTTTAGTTTCCATAAAGATATGATGTGTTTATTTGATTTGAATATTATTCATTGCTTGTGAGACTAAAACAATGATTTTAATTATTTGGTTTGGTTTTGAAAAGGGCCTATAATGGTTCCAAGTTGCAGGTTGACTTCGTTTGACTTTATTTGACTTTGGTTTGAATTTACTTTCGTTTGGTTTGACTTGAGGTTGGTTTTATGTTTTAAAAAGGATTTTTGAGACGAGTCTTCCGCTGTGTGTCTTTGATAATTGCCTTAGCCGTTATCACGATGGCGGTAATGTCTTAAAATTTCTTATTTCGTATTTTAAAGAGGTCAAAACAAGTATTTTAAAAAGGAAGGAATTTCTAGGGTGTTACAATAAAATAATCTATGAGATTATGAAGATAATAAATATCTTATTTTTTTTATATTATCTCTTTATTTACATATCTGACACCTAAAAATTAACAAAATTTCGGTGTCAACACCCTTACCTTTCCTCCCAAAATTGGAGGAATTTGAGAGGAAAGAAAGAAATTAAATCCATCAAACTTTTCCTTCCCTTTATATCCTTTACTAATGTCATACCAAACAATCGATTCTTCTCTTTTCCCTTCCTATATTAATATAAAACCAAACATTAGATGACATAGTTTTTTTTTTTTTTATTTCCTTTCCCCTCGCTTCCTTTCTTTTCCCTTCCCTTTCTTTCCTTTACTAATATTGAACCAAACAAAGCCTTAAACAAAAATCGAAAATAGAAAATAAAAAACAAAAGTCTTTTTCACTTTTCTACTGTTAGTTTTCAAAATTATCATGATTTAAAAAAGATTGACCAATTTTTAATTCATTATATGACATACTTCAATTCCTCCGTTTTTAAATACTTGCAACACCTCCCTAAAATGGAAATGTCACAATACTTGCAGCACACTATAATTAGAAAGTTATTTAGAGGAAAAATTATACCTTTCCTTTACTTAAAGTACATGGCCGATGGCCCACTAAATTATACTTTTAACAATCTCTCACCCCATTTTAAAATATATTAAATCATTTAAACCCCATTTTCTTAACTATCGTGAAAAAGTGTGTGTTGCAACTATTAAAAAAATGGAGGAAGTATATCATATGATTTTGAAAAACAAAAACCTAGAGTTCGCTTGGTATCACTGTGGTCATAGTTATCAGAATCAGGATTCTACCTTGAATCGGTGAGTAGGATAGAATCGAATCGGTAAAATCGAATCTTAGAATCGTACGATTCTACAAAATTGTAAAATTGGGCTTAAATGACTACATACATAATTTTCAAGCAATGAGAATGATAATAATATATATTGTTGATAACATAATATCGACAACACAAACATAAAATAGTTTTAGAAGTAATTTTGCACACGCATAACTCAACAGTATACTATAAATTATAAAGTCAGATTATTGGTACACATTCTTAACCACGAGAGTACGAGACAATTGTTGTTAAATTATGAAAAAAATAACTTTGTTGACTCGTAAAATTGTTTCCCTTAATATAAAAATCCAATGATAATAGATAACTAAGTGTCAAGTTAGTTCATTTTAACGAGATAGCTGATGACAACTACAACAAACTCATGTATAAAAGTGTTTTTTATATGCCCAAAGTTGAGTGCATAAGGCTCATGAATACATTCTTATGCCCATAAAATTTAAATGGTTGGATAGAATTTAGAAAGTTATTTAAATTGATGTTTCATAAGCTTTATTATAATTTATATTGAATACTATGTAAGTCATTGACTAAAGTTAGGCTAAACTATGACACCCTTACACTCTTTAGGCTATAACATAAAATATATAAATGATATGGGTACGAGACTAATTCTATTAGAAAGTAGACCTTAAGAGCTTTCCAACGATATATTATATACCCAATTCCGACTTTGCAATCAAAAGTTTTGGGTTTCTAAAAATCAGACTTTTGTAGGAGTAGAATCGTTAGAATCAGTACGGAATCATAGAATCTGTACCGATTCCACCAATTCTACTGATTCTATGAGCAATTCTACAGCATAGCGATTCTACCAACGATTTACATCGTTTAGGTGGATTGGGATTGTAGAATCGCACAATTCTACGATCTGAATCGCGAATTTAATAACATTGACAGTGGTTTTCTGGTTTTTGGTCTTTTTCATAATCATATGATAAGTATCATATAATAAATAAAAAAAAATTGGCCAAATTTATTAAAATCATGATAATTTTGATCACTAACAACAGAAAAGTGTAAATACCTTTTTCTTGTTTGGTTTGTTTTCAAAAAATCAGAAAAGTGGAAACAAAAAAGATGTCAAATAAGGCTTAAATAGAAAACTATCAAATTTACGAATAGCGGAGAAAAATCAAGTTTATCAAGCCGATTTACAAATTATCCTAATTATTAGATGAAATGACAAAACTACCCATTGATTTACAATTTCTTTTTGTAAATCAAACTTATAAACTGAATGTTAACTGAATGTTCCTTTGAACATTTAGACATTGAGCCAGAGATTTTGAATGTTACCGACTCTACCTTGTATTTGTTGTGTCTTGTGTTAAGATAAAACAGCCCCCAAAACCTTTAATGGGATATTCTCCAACGCGCAAAACGATAAAAAATATTAATAAATGGAGAGTAGGCCCCACTAACGAAATTTTTTAACGGCTAGATAATGACAAGGTTACCGTATAAAAACAAAATGTATATTGGGGTTACAATGTAGAAAGTGATATATGTTGGGGCACAACTTAGAAAAACAAAATTAACAAGGTTACTATATAGAAAAACCCTAAATAAATTAAATGCAGTGGTGTACTGGTATAGATGTATCTTGAGTGGCTGGTAAGAAGCCTTCCATCAAATAACATGAAGGTCGGCATAGTTGGAGGAAGTAGTATTGGAGGAATGTTATGTATTTGTAAATACATAACAATGATTAAAATATTCTAAAAACACATGGTAGAGAGAGAAAAGAGGAGAGAGATAGGAAGAGAGAGGTCTTTATGTGGACCCCACCTATTTTTTGGTTAGATTGTCTCACGTGATGGGGGATCACATGCTGATTGTTCCACTAAAACTTATATAGTACCATTGAATCTTTAGTGTTACTATTTATACATAAATTTAGTACAACTGAATGCATATATAATACCTCTATATGCATATATAGTGTCACCGTATGTTCAATGGTATTATTTGATCATCAAATGATACCAAAATACGCATTCATTTAAATATACGTGTAATTATATAAATGCCCCTTATTATGCATTTTTCTATGTGTATAATATCCCTCCCCTTAAAATCCCTCACATGGTTGGTCCAACTCCAAATAATCCGGAATTGCTGACAAACCCCCAAAACAAAACAAAAACCCCTACGTTTTTCCCAAATCACACTTGTAACACAACCCACTACCTTCGTCACCACATAAATTCACACCTTTCTGCCACAAACTAGCCCCACTTTCCTTCTTTCCTCCTCTTCATCTTCATAAAAATATTAAAAACCACCCAAAATAAAATCTTCAAACCCTTCCAAAACCCTCCTTTTCTTCTTCAGTTCTTCTCCCTACTTCATTACTCGTGCTTCATTTCACACCCTTCTTAACCAACCAAACAACCCCTTTTTTCCACAAAAATGGCGATTGCTTTATTACGCAGTCAAAGTAGTGCTAATTTCCGCCATTCTTACTCTAATAAAATCAAACATCATAATTTCTACAATAATTCTACACATATTGGTTCTCAAATTTGTCATAATCATAATTATAATCAATTGCAACAGTTATTACAACAACAGCAGAATGTAAAGTATTACTCCAGATTCTCTAATTTTTTCAGAAAATCAGTCAAAGAAGTCGAGGTTCCGGCGCCGCCATTTTTGTTTAGGCCGTCGGTTTCTTCGTCAACGTCGACAAAATCGTCGGTTTTATCGAAATCTGGGTTTGTTGGGTGGTATTTAGGGTTGATTAAGTCTCGCCCTGTTCTTACTAAAAGTGTTACTTCTTCTCTTATTTACATTGCTGCTGATTTGACTTCTCAGGTATCACTTTCATTTTCTTTAATTTTAATATTTTTTGGTTGATTGAGTTTCTGAATTGTGATATACCTGATTTGGGATTATGCTGGGAAGAAAATGTTATGAATTTTATTGTTATTGTATTGGAAAAGTGTCTACTCCTAAAGGAAATTAATGGGGTTTTGAAATAAATTAAGGAAGAAAGTTTGAGAGTTGTTTATACTATATAGAGTAAAGAATCTATGAAAGATTTTGACTATTGTTGGTTGAAAAAGTGGATTTTATAGGATATGAGTGGTTTTATGAAGTAGAAGTTTGCTATAGGATTGATAAATTGATTATATATTGCGTAAATTGTGAGAATTTGGAGTATTGAGTGTCGTAATGGACAATAATGTAGACGGGATTTCAATCCTGGTTTTGGCGACCAACCTCCAAGAATTCACCTTACTAAACTTAGCTGACATACAATATTTTGTTAATTAATTTGATCTGAGGAAAATAGCTTATCTTTGCTTCGTTGTTTAGAATATGCATACTTGGACCCGGAGAGAGGAATATTGAGCTTTATTAATTTGGAAGATACTTGTAGAACATCTTAGGTTTTTGTCAAACAAAAGGGGTCAAACTAATGGTGGTGATTAGTTATCTTATAAAGTCATATACAATTGTTTCGGGGTTAGGATGGGAAATTGTAACCTCATTCATATTCATGTGTGTACTATTAAGAAAAACTGGTATGAACATAGCTTGTCAAGATTTATTCTGTTCTGATTTCTTTGCCGAAGAAAGGTGTGAAGATAGTTGGTGGACTGGGTTGGGTGGATTAAAAGGAAATGCAAGTATGGAACCAATGTATAAAAAGGCTCAAGGGCGCACCAAGGCATTTTAGAGTATACTCATGAACATGAATAAGGTTAGGAAATGCAAACACTGTATGGAATATTATTTTGTTTCATTACTGATTAGGAAATTCCATATGGCTTACAATTTCTTAGATGATTCTTTGGTTTTATGTAGATTATGAGCTTAGTTTGCAATCACACACCATGTAAGTGGCATGTCTCATATCCGGCACTTATTGGACACCAACACACATCTGCCTGATACATCTAGGATATGTCAGGTGGAGTATATCTTTATCTTATATTTGTGGACATTTATAGGATATATATGAAATATATCTCACTTGACATCTTTTGTCTCTAGAATCTTTGAATAAAAAGTTGTAAGTAAAGAAAAAAACGTATATAATATATATATATACACACACACACACACACACACACACACCATAAGAAAAGAAAATGTTACGATCATCATGACTTGAACCTCCTTACAAATACCCCCTTATTATAGTATGTGCTTCCGGGGGGGCACGCATGCAAGAAGGAAGCTAATTAAGGGGCTCTTTTTCTATTTTTCAAGAAAGATTACTTTTTGCTCCTTTCCCACTCCTTTTATTCTTCGCGTCCAGGATTACGTCCCGGACGAGAGGACCGGGAAGGACGCACCTCTGGTGTACCAGTCCCCATCGTCAGTCAATACCTTTTGATCTCCTACAATTCAACTATGCTGAATTTCTTATATTTCGTGAGTCAATTAGAAAGTTAATCTATCCTTGATTTGAATGATTTCCTGAATTCTTTTCTTATTATAATGCACTCCATATCATAGCATATATATATATTAATATGGTTTTACTGGTTCATGACAGACTATTGCATTGCAATCTTCTGAGTCGTATGACTTGATTAGGACGCTACGCATGGCTGGATATGGAGGGGTGATTTTAGGTCCGACATTGCATTATTGGTTCAATTTTATGTCAAGAATCCTTCCAGGAACGGGTTTACTGACAACAGTGAAGAAAATGGCATTGGGGCAGACAGTTTATGGACCAACTATGACCGTTACTTTCTTCTCGATGAATGCTGCTCTGCAAGGTAGGGGATTTTTAAATCCCACTATTATACAGTTTAATTTGCTATCTGTATAACTGTGTGATGCTGTCAAATGTTTTGCACTTTCATGCAAGCAAATGTAGGTCAAGCAGTACGGGAGAATTCTAGCTTAATTGCCAATCTTATTACTCATTAGTTGCTTGAAACTTGCAGTAGTGGCAGCATGATTAGTATGGGCTGGAGTTGCATTCTTGATTAGGATATACACTAAGATTAAAACATAGTTCTGATGGCCTTTAGTTGCAGCAACAGCTGAAGGAGATCAACAAATAGTGTCAGTTGGAATAGCAGTATTGGTGCATGAAAGAGTTAAGACTTTTTGTTTAGCTTTTGTGTATGCAGTTCATTGTTTACTTTGCTGTAAAATAAATTAGGTCTTTCAATTGATGCTTCTGCCATGTTATCTAGATATGTGAGTGTCTGGAGCATTCTATGAGCAATAATTTTGAAAGTTCATTAACTGATATACTTCATTTGATACTCATTTGAAAGCACTTTATATGGTCTTCTCATCACCGTACACAATCAAAGCATTAAATTTAAATTGTGCAGGCTGCAGCATGATATCCTTCCTAATAATTAGCTGTTTACATATGCTCAGCTGTTTTGCGTAATTTGTTAGAACACAATAACTACCCTTTTAATTTAGGGTCGTTTGGTTCAGTAAACTAGAATGCAATGGATTGGGAACCCATACCAAGGTGGTATGGATGGGGAACTCCATACCATGCCATATTTGTTTGGTTTAAACTAAAAGGATATGTATTTTGTCAGGGTTTGTATCTAAAGCGGAATGGATTTAGAAACTTAGGGGATGAGATAGGTATAAGGTTGTAGGGGGTTGAAATGAAGTTAGATACTAATGACATGAGGTACCATGGCAAAAAATTTCTGACCAAACATTGAAACGGTTGTACTCCATTCCAACCCATTGCAAATGTCCAGCCAAACACCCCCATGAAACTAGTCACTAAAATGAAGTCTAGGCTATGTTACTCAGACTAGGGATATTTTCCCGAGTGTTGGTTTTGATACAACCCAACACAGATCCGAGCACAAAATACAGGTCGGGTGTTGCTTTTGTACTTCTGAAAGGGCATCCTATAATAACCATAAATCAAAGAAAAGGGACTAAGGGGGGAATATCTGGGTGAAAATTGGTCTTCAAGACTTCCATTACACGATAAGATTGAAAGTTTTCAGATCTAGAATCTGTGGAAATGTCCCTAGGTCTGACAATTCAAGATGAAATTTACTGTATGAAAAAAGATATTGGAGGGGCTGACAGGGAGAGGAAACAATTGTGATTGCTGGAATATTAGTTGTCTTCTTTGGTGCATGTGCTTGATTAATTTCTTCTTATTTTTAATTTTTTTTTGAGGGATCATTCTTTGCATCCATTATCTCTGTTATTTCGGGGTGAATGCAGCTCATTGACTGCTTGGGTTTGAGGTCAGTCATCATTATTTTGGTTTCCTATTGAGCCTAAAGGGCCCTAAACTAGCAAACTCTTTTTTTTTTTTTTTTTTTTCCGAGTTCTTACTGAGTTACTTTGCAGACACTGAAACACAAAATTATTTATGAATTAGTATGTAAATGAAATACATGAATATAAATGTTAAATATAATTTTTTCAGAAATGGTTGTATTCTTGTATCCCCAATCCCGTGTCCGAATTTAGGAAGTGTTCCCGTATCCTAATTCTCTAAATAATTTGTTTCAGACACCTGTATTCGATACTCATACTCTTGTCCAAGTAACTTTGTATCTAAGAAAGGACTACGATGCGATACTAACATGTGAAATAGTTCTTGTTTGGTTGACAAAACAAATGGAAGAAATGAAAATTTATGGGAATTGATAGATTGGGTAGCTGTTTGGTTGACAAAAAAAAGTAAAATTGAGCAAGTGGGAATTTATCGAAAACTAACTACAAAACATGGAAAATAAATTACTAAACCCTCCCCAACCAATCAAAATTCATGGGAATTTCAAAATCTCATGTTGTCAACCAAATAAGTTAAAGAAGTTCGTAGTAATATAGTAATTACTAAGGGAATAACATCCCATGAAATGCAAATTCTTATGGGATGGATTTCATGGGTAGTTATTTCTCTTATTAAATTTCTAGGAGTTTCCTCAACTTGTTTGGTTGACAACATGAGAATTTGAAATTCTCATTAATTTTGATTGATTGCGGTGGGGGCTTTGTTAATTCTCATGTTTTGTTGGAAGTTCTGATTGCCATAAATTTCCACATCCTCCAATTTACTTTTTGGGTAAAAAAATAACTACCCAATCTGTGTTAATACCTATGAATTTCCACTTTCTCCATTTCTGGTTGTTTACAAAACAAACACTTGATTGTAATTTGAGAAAATGCATATTCAAACTGCAAGTATGAGAGATCTGGGCTGTAGATTTTTATTAGAAAGCTACTTTTTGAGCCACTGTTGTAGTATTGGTTATGGAGAGAATTTTCATCTCTGTGAAGCCTAACAATATTGCTTAATAAAGGCCCTTGGACAAATGTTGTTGGTCATGTTGGAGGGACTGTTGCGTGGGTAGCTGCTGAATGCATATATGGACTGGGGAAAATCTTTTTCAGCTTCAACTGTGTGTTTAGCCTATCTGTGGAGGAAAGGTTGGACTGTTGGAGAAGGATTATATTTTCAAGTCATTTCCTTTCTGCAAATTTAGTATGCCATTTTTACTATGGAAATCTTACTCTGCTGCATTAAAAAATTGTTCTAATAGTGAAAGGGGGAGATTTGGATTGTGGATAGATAGCAAACCAGTTAAGGCATAAATTTCCAATGTTCTATCTTTTGTTTGGTGCTTTGTTGTGATCCTCGCAGTATTTTAGTTGTCGTTGGTGTTTAATGGGTATGCTCGAATGCTCCATAGTAATTAATGCTTGTACAGGTTTGTTTTGGTGAAATTTTTTAAGAAGTCAATGGAAATATGCACTTATCTGGCTGGTTTTTGTTGTATTACATATTTCCTCTCAGATTCCTTGAGGTTGTTGGAGATGAATATGAACTACTCTCTTCACTATGTTTACATTCTTCCTCGCTATTCTTTCAGGTGAAGATGCCATGGAAATTTTTGCGAGATTGAAGCGGGATTTACTTCCAACAATGCTAAATGGTGTCATGTATTGGCCGATATGTGATTTCATCACATTCAGATTTGTTCCTGTCCACTTACAGGTAACAGTCATTTGCTTGTTCATGATGGATTTTATAGTGTTCTTTAATCAGTGCTTTATCTTTTATTATAAATGGGGGGCTATGGGGCAATTGGGGCGGGTAATTCAAGCAATTCATTAAGCAAGCTCATGACCACTATGGCTGGGTTTTTATCTGTTTCTAATTTAGTGTTATTTTTGCAGCCGCTAGCGAGCAATTCATTTTCTTATCTGTGGACTATTTATATGACATACATGGCAAGTTTGGAAAAACCAAGTGTGGCTTGATGATGCATTTTTTATTCAGGAGCTAGATGGCTTTCTGGAACAAATTTATCAACTATTTGATAATGGATTACCTTCATCTCTTATAGTAACTAAACCAGCTTCCTTGCCTATTCAGTTGACCGTGGCTGGCTGGTTAAGTTTTGTAATATATTTCAGTATTAAAAAAAAAAAAAATTGTTACTTTATTAAGTCTTTGCTATTTTATGTAGTATGTTAATTTGCTGTAATTTTTTTGGGATGTTATGTCCACTTAAATTATGCAGAATGGCTGAATGGGGGTCAAAATCAGGGAAGTCTTATTGCGTTACTGTGATGCATTAGGGAATTGTATAACATGGCATTTTGTAAATAATTTTAATTTTGTTTGGGCCTATATTTCTCTTTTCCTTATTATGTCATATGTTACCTTATACTTTACTTGCAACACTTCTATATCATGTCAATAATTCAATATACTATGTATTATTTTGATTATTAACACATTTAATGATATCAAATTTATTAAAAATTAATGTTATGAAAGTATAAGGTGAGATGAATCTAACAAGATTTATAATTATACTCCGTATTTTGTAATCATTCTATCTGCTTTAAAACAAATGTCCTAATTTAACCGACACATTAACTTTGACTAATAATATATAATTCTCAGTAAGTATAAATTATACCTATTCTTCTCTCCTAGCTCACATATAATCTCATGGGAGAGCAGTTGAGGACGAGCTACCATTATTAAAGTATTACGTATATGATTTAACTTGAATATAATTAGACCACACCTAACGACCAGTATCTCATGCTTGCTGTAGACATGTTGATTAATGCAACCATGTATGCACACATTTCATCATTAACTTGGTATAAAGATAATCAACTTATCACAGCTTAAAATCGTAGAGACAAATTATCACATAAACGCATGGATACATGTCATTAGAGGTGTCCACCGTGCGAGTCGTGCGAGCTGGGTTAGGGTTAGGTGGGTCGCGGGTTGGGGTTTCATGACACACGGCACGACACACGTAGGGTAGGGTGGGCCGGGTCGTGGGTTGGGTCGGAGAAGTTGGACACACCAGGGTTAGGTTCGTGGGTTAGACGAGTCGTGGGTGGGTCGAGCTGGGTTTGTGGGTTAGACGGATCGTGGGTGGGTCGAGCTGGGTTTGTGGGTTAGACGGGTCATGGGTGGGTCGAGCTAGGTTCGTGGGTTAGACGGGTCAAGGTGGGTTAGTGAGTTAGGGTGGGTCGAAGGGTGGGTTAGTGGGTTAGGGTCGGGTGGGTTTGTGGGTTAGGTGGGTTAGGGTCGGGTGGGTTAGTGGGTTAGGGTCGGGTGGGTTTGTGGGTTAGGTGGGTTAGGGTCGGGTGGGTTTGTGGGTTAGGGTCGGGTGGGTTCGTGGGTTAGGGTCGGGTGGGTTGTGTGGTGTTTTAATTTTTACAAAATTAACAATTTGATGGCTTGCTCTTAATTAAGATGCCTACGTATCCTTATATTATAAAATAAGGAATCAAAGCCAGCGTAGTTCTTATATTGTACTTCTTTTGAAATTTGGGGGGGGGGGGGCTTGGACCTATCTTTAGAAAACTAAAATTTAATTTTGCAATTAAATTGTAATTTTCGAAAAATAAGTTGCCTACGTATCCCGAAAGAATCAAAGCCCATGTAGTTCTTAGCGTACCTGATTTAGACTTTTCTAGCCACCCATGTTTGTTGCATCATCATCCCCGGAAGCTGCATCATCCGTTGACGACTCCAATATCATCACAGGATCATCTTCATCGTCTTCGTCTTCCTTTAAACCTTGAGTTCTTCTTTCAGCTTGATCCCAATCTTTCTTACAAACACAAATTTGAATGCTTTCCGGAGTTAAGCGAGATCTTTTTTCATCTAACACTCTTCTACCTGCACTAAAAGCAGACTCGGAAGCAACAGATGAAGCGGGAACTGCAAGTATATCTTTTGCAATTCTCGCCAATATAGGAAAACTTTTTTTATGTTCTTGCCACCATTTTATAATTTGAAAGTTGTTGTTGGTCTCATGTTGATATGACAAATAATCATTAATAGCAAGTGTTGAAGAAGATGATGATGAGAATGATGTAGATGCTTTGTGTTTTTTTTTTTCATAACTTTATCAAGAAAACCAAATCTAGAATCGGAAGTGCTAGTAGTAGTTGGTGTTGCCAAATCAAAACCATAAATAGATGCATAATGATCATAAAGGTCTCCCAAAACAGATTTGCATTTGTTAATATATTCACTAAGATCATAATCGATACTTAAACTTGTATAATAAAATTCTAAAAGATTTTCCAAACCTTCAGCTTTGACACCGGGGTCAAGAATAGCAGCAATTCCATAAATGATTGGAAATTCACTAAAATAAGTATGCCACTTACGTTTCATGCTATCAAGAACGGGACGAAGTCCATCAATCTTCATATGCTCTTCGATGGTGTGAACAACTTTAACACACTCAATTATGACTAAATGAACGTTAGGCTCATAAATATAAGAGAAAATATGAGTTGCACTATCAAAAGCATTTAAAACATCACGAACAAAAGTTTTTTTTTAAAATGGATGTTAGGCCGTGCGGGTCGTGCGAATTGTGCGGGCTGTGCGGGCCGTGCGGGTTGTGCGGGCCGTGCGGGTTGTGCCGGCCGTGCGGGTTGGGTGGGTCATGCGTGCGGGTTGGGTGGGTCATGCGTGCGGGTTAGGTGGGTTGGCTCGTGCGGGTTGGGTGGGTCATTCGTGCGGGTGGGCCGTGCGGGCTGGGTTGTGCCAGGTGGGTCGGGTTAGGTGGGTTCACGGGCTAGGTGTGTCGAATTAAATGAGTCAAAACGGGTTGTGCGATTTGGGTCGAATCAAACGGGTTAAACTGAGCTGGGTTGAAATGGGTTGTGTCGAAAATTTTGGACCACGACACAACCCGGATTAAATCCGAGCTGTGCCGGGCTGTGCCGGATTGAAACCGGGTCGGACCCACGTGACCCACCAGCCGTGCGAGTTAGGGTGGGCTGGGTCCAACCCGGCCCACTGGCCACCTCTACATGTCATTGCTAAAATATATGATGGATAACGCACACTTATAATCGCATAGGCAAATTATCTCATAAATGCATTTAGGTATCTAAGTTCATTTATAATGTACAAGCCGTACTCATCTACAATGGATGGGGTAGCAATGAGAATGTACAAGTCTTTCACCTTATTTTAGGAAATTATAAAAAAAAAAAAAAAAAGTTTAGATAAGATAAGTTCATGAAAAATAAGTTTTAATAGGGGTTACTCTCTCTATCCTTTTATATTTGTCTTATTTTTCTTTTTAGTTTGTCCCTTTAAGTTTACCACATACTTCTTTTGGTTGTAGGGAACAAACCTTTTATTTCACAATCATTATACTAATCCCACCACTTTTATCTCTCATCTGTTATTTTTCAACCAAAAATTAAAAAGTAACCTTCCCCATATGGAGCAAACAAAGGGGGATAGAGGGAACTAGTAGTTAAGTTCAAATTACAACTAAAATACTTCATTTGTCCTTTTTTGTTTGTCCTAATTTCTTTTTAAAGTCGTCCCTTAAAGATTGATATATACTATTAATGTACATAGGGACTACCACTTTACTCTCACAAAATTTTTTTAGGCCCCACCACTTTTCCCTCTCATTAATTCCACTCAACCAAAAACTTAATAAAGTGACATATTTCTATGGGCAAACAAACGGGAACGAAGGGAATAAGTTCTAAAAAGGTTATTATGTTTATATAAGTTCATGTAAGTTTAGATAAGATAAAATAAATGTAAATAAGTGAAAACTATGTGAATGAAACACTTTAAATAGGTTGCTACACCTTTGGTTTTATGTCAATGTGTTGTGAATTATATTTATAGTGATATGTTTGACAAAATTATGAAATGCTGGATCATATGTTCATATGTGAAGTGTTGAAAAAATACAAGTTTATCATTATGATAAATAAAATTTGTTTATTAAATGACAAAATTTTAAATAAACTAATAGCTCTTTATAAAATACTCTCTTTGTCCCTTATTTTTTTTACTCAATTTGACTTTTCACGATTTTCAAGACACGTCTTCAAATGCATTTATCTCCGTTTCTACACGTGTAAAAATTATAAAAATTTGATATTAATAAACTATACAATGAGACAATTCTAACATGATCTCACATAAATATATATTATCACTTATATATTAACGAAATTTCATGATCAAAGTTTTAAAAGTTTGACCCATATTTTTGAAATGGGGCAAAAATTAAGGGATGAAGGGAGTATGAGTCTTATTGTCGTTGATATATTTACAAAATGTCATATTGACTAGACATTTAAGCGGTTTCATTTACCATTTTGCTATTATAAACAAACTTTGTTTATCAAAATAATTAAACGCGGCTTCGGTCATAAACCACAGAGAACTAGAAGAGTTCTGATTTTGGTTCACCCTCTTCAGTCTTGTTCACCCATGTCTGAGAATCCATTAGAACCCATCTTCAAAACCTTCCAAAGAATTTCAAATTCTATTCAAACGCAACTTTTCTCCTTCACTGGCTTAGCTATTCACCCTTCACCTTCCAATGAAAAGCCTCTTCTCTCTCTATCACCTTCCTCCAAGCCAAACTCATCACACGATACCGACGTTTCTGCTAAGGTATTGTCCCCTTTGTAATTTTCCGATTATTTTTTCAATTTGAAACTCTTTATTTGCTTTTATTTTATATGATTATGTTATACACTTTTGTCAAATTCAATTACCCATTTGTTAAATGCTCTCCTAACTTAAAATTTTGTTTGTTAAACTTCATTTACTATTCAAATATCGAGAATATGATAGCTGGGGTTTTTGTGTGCATTGTGAAATTTTGTGAATTTTGTATTTAGGTTTTGTTTGGAATTAAGGGTTTGAGGAAACTGAATTCTGAAAATCAATTAGAATTTGCTGTTTGGAGGAGTTTTTTTTGGAAATAGCAACTTAGCAAGGGTGCATATATATCACTCTCCCAGGATTTTGCGCCACGATTTCGGCTGGAATATTACAATTCTTACACTGATTGATTCTGAATTTTTGCAGCCAATTAACTGTGTGTGAGAATAAGAGCTGTAGAGTTACCCTTACCTTGTTTAGTTTTTGAGTATGCAGTCTAATTATGAATTCTGCTATATATGTGTTACATGAGGAAGGTATGAATGTGGTGTGCCATCTTGGAAGTCATGAGCTGATTCATTTGAATGTTTGACATTAAGATGCTCTGGAGTCTGGATGAACCCACATGGCCACATTGTTAGTGGCACCAAAAAAGTTCCATGTAGCCGAAGTTTACTAGGTCTGTTGCATTGCCTATCTTTTTGGTTATTGTTTGTGACAGTGTGATTTTAGAAAGGTTTGAATTGCCTATCTTTAGTTCAATATGAAGAAACTGTGTCACCTCACAGGGGACTCCTTTAATGTAATCAGCATACATCGTGTATAAAAAGAAAAAGCTGATAGGGTTGCTGACATCCTTTGAGATTCTAGGAATTTGTTGATAAGTACTTAGTCAAATTCCTCAATATCTTGTAATTCTTGTTCATTCACAACCAAATATTTTCACTATCTCCCTTCAACCCTTTGAGTGAAATGCGGCAAAAGGAAGGAAAATCCATGGACCGACCCCATCGTCTCCATCCTGTAAGAACTATGAGATCACCCCTAGGATGCCTTCGACACTCAAGGATGCTCTTGTTTTTTGTTTTTTTTTACTACATAATTTTTTATACAATCCCTTGATCTTCTTGTAGACCTTTTGAACAGGTTTTTTGGTTCTGAAAACAAAAGGGAATAATGTCTGTGTTGTACCTAGTCTGAAACCAAGTAGATTTATCTTTTGTCCCATATTCTTGCCTATCAAGGTCTATATCATTCGGGAATGAACATATCATTATGTGCTTTTACATTAGCTAGGTTTCTGCCTTGAGAGAAGGCAATCCTAGACTTCTTATTTCCTTACCTTTTCAAAACGGAAAACCAAAAAAAATAAATAAATAAAGCCATTGTATGGATTTTTATCAGCTACATTCTTTGTGGTTGCTTATCCTTTGAACACCTTTAGGCATATGCCGGCTTGAGACTTGGTGGATTGCATTGGTCATGTTATGCAATGTGCGCTTATTTTTAATGCTGAAGCCCATTGCTTTACTCTTAGGTTTGGTTTGACTCCTTTAATATAGGGTAAAGCCTCACAGCCAGTGACGAAGGAAGATCTTGGAAGGTCCACCTGGACATTTCTTCACACTCTTGCGGCTCAGGTACTCTTCTTTTCATGACAAGCATCTTTATGCTGTGCACTTGCACTTTCTCTTCATGATTCACAGGTTCTCTCTACTGGCATTACTATTTCTGAGGAAGGTGACATTTTATCTTTATCTTTTCCCTTTCTTTAGAAAATAAAAGAATTGTAAGCAACTGCTAATAAGTAATACACTTGTTTGAATTTATTACTTTCACTGTAGAGTGACATTTTTTTTTTTTAGTATCCAGAGCACCCAACTAGGCAGCAAAAGAAGGATGTGAAAGAACTGGTAAGTTCCATTGTCTTCCACATGTTCTATTTGGAATTTGTTTGAATGAAAATGAATAAATCACTCAATGGAATTTAGAGGAGGCTGAATAAGTCAATGTGGCTATTATTTATGCATGAATTATATTTTATTTCTTGCTCATCGTAATTTTTTGTTCTCCCATTGACTAATTGGCCTAAGAACATAAAAATCTATGCTGTTTGCAGATGGCAATTTTATCACGGATGTATCCATGCAAGGAATGTGCAGACCACTTTAAAGAAGTTTTAAGGTACACATTCATTTCCTTTTTAGGCCCATAAAGTGATAGTGGTCATTCTTTCTCTAATTTGTAGTGGGTTGGTTCAGTTGTATTTGAATCATCAACATGGAATTCCTAAAAGTGTGGATTTGAGAAACTGCTCATTAATAGGCCAGTTTACATGCTCAAAACAATTGTCCAAACTCATCTGTTTCTTGGCTTGAGCTAGTGGAATCATAATGATTTTTTTATGGAGTCTTCAAAATTATATAGATAATCAGTTGTGTAAATCGTAAATGATGGATGTACCATATGGAACATGCATATCATCACATATGTTGGAAAATAAGAAATCTTTCTATGGTTTGGCTAGACTTGTATGTATCACCTGAGAACTTTTTTGAGAAAATGTGTTTTTCCCCCCTTTTGTCAATTTTTTTTGTAGAGGATTGAAAAGAAAGAATGATATCTTGCGCTAATAGCTGCTCCAATACCTGGAGGGGTGTAAAGAATACTCTATTATATATGGCTTTTGTATCTTTGTTCCCTAAGCTGATTGCTTAGGTTTGATTGAATGATACAGTAAGGAAATGAACTTTTATTATGTTTGAATTGATGCTAGTAATGTATCTTGGTGTCGGGGCTTTCCAATGTTAGGAATTGTTTGGTCATGTATGTGCATCCAGTTTAAGAATGTCATGCATAGCCTTATGCGTTGGCCGTTGGGTACTGAGGTCAAAAGCTTCATAATTACATGGTGATAATTAATCTGGGGTAGTACTGTAGTATTGCAATTTGAACTGCAGAAATATTTTTCATTAGAAGGGTTGAAGCCTGAAGGTAAGGATGGAACTGTTTTTTTTTTTTTTTTTTTTGGGTCTAGAGTTCTAAAGATCTTAGAGGTGTATGGAACAAAAATTTAAGAGCCTTGATCTGAAAGGGATAGAGGAGTATGAAATCAATTACTCCCTCTGCTTAAATATGCCTTTTATACTTGTTTTTACGAATATGAATAAATAGTTTGTGATTTTGGTTGATTAAAAATGAATAAAAAAATCAGATAGTGGGGTTTGCTTGATTAAAAGTGAAAAAAGAAATGGAGAAGGTAAAATGAGACTTTGATTAAGGATAAGGTTTTGGGATAAAATGGGACTTTTATTTGGGGATGGAGGGAGTATTAAAGATTTGAGCTTAGTAGAAGTTCATATTGTAATTGCAAAGATAAATTGGCACTAGAAATGACAACAGGCCGGACTATGTGAATATCAGTGATCCAGAGGCTATAGCTGTTGCAAGGATTCTTATTTTAATATTGACTTATAGGCTATAGTTCATAATTTCATAGTATATGTCTTTTGCATTGAAAATTCATTATGAAAGTATGCAAACCGACCTTTTAGTGACCTGTTTCTTTTATAGCTGTAGAGACCTGTGTTGCTTCAGACATTTAACAAGTAACTTCAGCATGAGTTTCAGCTATAGCTGCCATAAAATCCACCCCCTTGTGTTGAATTACAACTGCGTTTTATGGTTGCCTAATGCCTACTTGCTTAAGACATTATATGGTTACAGAATATTGTTCACTACCATTTATGTACATGTTTTTATTTAATTCTGTTGTTAATTACTTCATATGTGGAAAAAAAAATCTGGTTTCAATTTGCATCTTCTGCTAGCAAACTAAGTATAATAATTTGCATCTCTCCCCTCTTTTTAATAGAATAATTTATTTTTTTCGAAACAGAGCAAATCCTGTGCAAGCTGGATCTCAAGCTGAGTTCTCTCAATGGCTATGTCATGTTCATAATGTTGTTAACAGAAGGTAAGCGTGTTTGTATAATTTTGGCCAAATATTCTTTGGCAGGCTGCTGAACTTATGAGTAGTTCTGAACTTCTAATCCTAAAAACGGGACTGAGCATCTGATGGATGCTGTTAAAAGGATTACAGATTTACAGGTTCTGATACTATTAGGGGCCGTTTGGTTCGCAAAGTGGAATCGGAATGGAATGGGGAAAGGGTATGGAGGAGAATGGAATGAAACCCTTGAAATTTAGGGTGTTGTTTGTTAAAAAAAAACAAAGGGAATGATTCCATGGAACCACCACCACAGCACCACCATTTTAGGGTATTATTTTGACTTTTTTTTTTTTTTTTTTTTTTTTTCCGGAAATTGGTAGTTTAGAATTCCGGCAGCGACCAGCGAGGTCGGAGGAGTGTCGACGAAGGTGGAGCGAGGTCGGGGAAGGTGCAACGAGGTCGAGGGAGTGCCGGCGAAGGTGGAGCGAAGTCGGGGGAGGTGCAGCGAGATCGAGGGAGTGCCGACGAAGGTGGAGCGAAGGTCGGGGATCGCCGGCGAAGGTGGAGCAAAGGTCGGGGATCGCCGGCGAAGGTGAAGCGAAGGTCGGGGGAGGTGCAGCGAGGTCGAGGGAGTGCCGGCGAAGGTGGAGCGAAGTCGGGGGAGGTGCAGCGAGGTCGAGGGACTGCCGGCGAAGGTGGAGCGAAGGTCGGGGATCGCCGGCGAAGGTGGAGCGAAGGTCGGGGAGAGCCGGCAAAGGTGGAGTCAAGGTCAGGGAGAGCCGGCGACCATCCGGCGAGGTTGGTGGGATATGGGTATGGTGGGGGTTGGGGAAAGGGAATGGTAAAGGTAGGGGGGGGGGTGGGGAATGGGGGTGGAATAAAAATGGGTAAACCCAAAAATAAAAATGGAGAAAGGGAATGACAAAAGTTGCAAAACAAACTGCTTACAAAGGGAATCATTCCCATTCCCTTTCCCCATTACAGCGAACCAAATGGCCCCTTAGGGTGATTGATAATCTGATCTTGAATATGACACATACAAAAACTATTTTTACATACAAAAACTAATTTTCTTAATTGCTGAATCTTATGTGTCAGATTGCCATTCTTATTAGTAGCTGTAAGCCTATGACTAAATATTCTGTATTATGTAAAACAAATATTCAAGACCAGTTTAATATTAGAAAACGAAGTCTAATATTAGAATTTTGTGACGGTAATCTTAATCCTTTTGGAATAGAAGGAATATTACTTTGCAGGAATGCTTGTAACTCTTATTCTTTTCATCTTATTTTTGTTCAACAGCCTAAGCAAGCCCATGTTCCCCTGTGAGCGAGTTGATGCCAGATGGGGCAAGCTGGACTGCGAGCAACGTCTGTGTGATTTACAGGGAACTACAACCTTTGGGGATGACAGCTGAGACTATCCAATCTTCTTTTGTTAATATCAGATTATCTTGTATGACTGATGCTTATAATTATTTAAATTTCTGAGGTTACAAAAGATGCAACTAGTTCTGCCCTACACAACGATTTGATCCCTCTGAGCTGTATATATGAGGCAACTTATTGGGATTACTTTATAATTCTAAGGAAATATTGCAAACAAGTGCCTATAACTTATTCTCTTTTGGAAACAACTACTAGAAAAACCTCTACATGGTGTATTCTCGAGGTATTAACTTTACTACATTTTATTCCTTCAAAAAACTTGGAATTCCACTTGGTACCCTCAGATCCATAAAGGAACCACGTGGCACCCTCACTGTTATCTAGATGTTAATGATTATGTTAGTTTTCATGTAAAGCTATCCTAATCAACTAACCACGACCATCTCTAAAACCCAAAATCAGCACACCTACCAGATCTAAACCACTACTATCACCTCTTTAAACCACCACCGAATTATTAAACCACCATTATCACCTCATGAAACCATCACTATTATCTCCTTAAACCACCACTAAACATGAAATCACAACCACTATCCCTAAACTGTCATAACCACCATCTCTAAATCACACAACCACCTTTAAAACTTGCCTAAATCACGAAAACCACCTCCAAAATGGCTTGGTTTTTGCGTGGGGCTAGGTTATTAGGGAGGTGGGATTTTTTTTTTATGGTAGTGGGTGGTTTTCGAGGGTTCTTGGGCTGGTTTTTGAGTCCGTGGGGCTGGTTTTCAAGGTCAGGCGAGAGATAATGAGGTGGCGATGGTGTTTCGAGTGTTGATCATGGTATGGGAGGAAGGAGAAACGGTAAACCTAATGTCTATTTGTTATTAATCAAGATCAAGGGTACAATGTTGTTACTATTTGGAAGGGGGGAGGGGAGCATGTGGAAGTCCAAATGTGAAGGTCCAAGCCGAATTCACCTCTTTTGACCAAGCCGTGGGACTTGGCCTACCTTGACCCTTACTTGTGCCAATCTTGTGTCACCCCTACTCAATCCATGAACCATCTAACTCGCCCTAACACACCCAGCTCGCATAGTTGGCCACCTCTAGTTCAGGTGATATGTTAGGGTTTGGGTTAACTTGGCTGGCTCGCTGGCTTGATTCTGATTTATTTATTATTTTGGGTTACACAAGGTTTTTTTTTACTTTATTTTATTTTATTTTATTTTATTTTATTATTATTATTATTATTATTATTATTATTATTATTTATTTTTTAAAGCAAAAGTAGAGTATTCAAGTTGGGTTTAATTTAACCAATTTAATTTTTGATATTTTACTTTCGCCTTGAGGTAATAACATATGCTAAGATGTGAGTTAGACTATCACACACAAGACTCGCTTGGGCTTCGGGTCAACACATTTTATTATCGATTAAAAAAAAGCTCAACACAAACCCACTATTTTAATCGTGATTTCATAAGTTTTCGCACAAATTCACAATGCTGCTATTCATGGGACAATTTGGCATTTAATTGAACAGCATAATGAAGAAACATCGAACTGTGATATATGACTGCCTAACAAATTGTTCAACTTACAAAACAAGCAAATGCTAAAAACAAATCACGACGGTCCCCATTTATCCGTTATTCATAAAAGAAAAAAAGGTTATTCCATATTAATAGTCACTTAAGAATGTTAAAATGAAATATACAAAATGAACAATAATTTATAAGCTAGAGAGTTTAAACAATGACAAATAGAGAATACCAAAGTTATTATAACAGTGACAACAAGCTATTCCTGAATATTTATAAGTTAGAAAGTTTCAGCATCTGATCAATTTAAGCACAACCTGGCTACGAAGCTCCCTAATCTTGCCGTGTTCTGTTAGCTTAAAGTACTATAGCATGTTATTGGTTTTTACATATAAGCGAACCCTAGGATGAACTGCCAGACCCAGTGTCTTCCAACAGCATGCATTTCATCGTGCGGACTGGTGGAGATTCTCCAAATTTCAGTAAGTAAGCAGTTTCATATGCAACGCGCAGCTGTTGAATGACTTGAGCATCCAAGTATGCATCACAAGTGAAACACCAAACTGACAAATCACTGTCGGACAAAAAAATAAAACACAATCAGAAAAATTAGCCGCCAATAGCTCAACCATGTTTTATCTCTTGATCCCCAGCCTGCCCAGATCATCTCATTGTTTTACACGGAAAAGAAAAGGAATTAATGCCTTCCAAGAAGCAATTATGTGAGACTTAAGTTATCTTAATTACAGTTTTGATTTATATATTTGTTTATGCACATTTTGTTGACATTGATGCATATGATTTGACATGTAGTAATTTGGTGACTAAAAGAATAGAGAAAATGCAAAGAAGTACCTGTAGCTAAGTGCTAGACAGTGGCCTTTCTGCTCGTAATGCTCAAGCATGTGCTTATTTATGAATCGGCTACAAAGGACATCCTTACAGAATAAGCATACCCAGTTTTCAGCAGGGTGATGACACCTTAAAAACAGAAACGACAACTGTCAACAGCAGCTAAGAAATTTCAGGACAAGGTTCAATACAAAACTGAAAATTTGTACTTCAGCACAAAGCTTGATATATACACTTCAATACCAAAATGTCTCTATCGAATAGAACTCAAGACCAAACTTAGAGAACAATAGAAGAGGCACGGTTAAGAGAAATTTCTCTTATCAAATTAATGTAAACGTAACAGAAACTTATCTAGAGAAATTGGGCTAAAGGTAAAACAATACAGCAGACAAATGCTTAATTTAGGTTTGATTCAAGTAAATGAATGCCTCTAGGCTCTAGTGTTATATCAGTTCCTTTTTGATTGGACTTCCTATGTGGTATCAGACTAGCCAGAAGTACCATAGGCTAGATTGAATAGCATTGAACTCAAACAGCAAGCTCCCAAAATACCAATGGATCGAAGACATTAATACAAGGAGTTAGAAAAGAAAGCAAAATAGAGAACCAAGCAAATAAAGAATAGCTTCCATCATTGACATCTAATTTTTATGCAGGTATACTGCTCAAAGCTTTCTTAAGAAAAATAGCTTAAGGCCTTTCTGTCCTTACAGCTCTTTCTCATGGTCTGCTTTCTAAGATTAACTCACAAATACCCTAAGGCCTTGTTTGGTTGACATGGGAATTAAATTCCCATAGGAAATTGCATTTCATGGGAAGTTATTTCTCTCATGAAATTCCTAGGAATTTCCTAAATTTGTTTGGTTGGCAATGTTGAAATTTAGAAATCCCATGAATTTTGATTAACCTAGGGGGGTGCTAGGTAATTTACTTCCCTTGTTTTGTGGGAAGTTGAAATTCCCATGAATTTCCACTTCTTCAATTTTTGTTTTTTTGTGTCAACCAAACAACTTCTCAATTTATCAAATCCCATGAATTTCCACTTCCCCTATTTTATGTTGTCAACCAAACAAGGCCTAAAGATAAATAATAAGGAAGATTTTGCTACAAACAAATATTTTTAAAGATTAAGTTATACTAAGTTCGCTTTAAAAAACTTGCAGATACCAATCAAGTGACCTTCTACAGAGGTGTTACTTAGGTTGAGTCCAATCAAATTACCAAGCAGCATGACACATTAAGTGAATCTGCTAAACACCAAGGCACAAATAGAGTTAAAAGTTTATTTGTGCACAGCATAAGGGCAGGTGGCATGCGCCACAAGTATCAGTTAAGAAATGTGGAAAACAGAATAAGAATGTCAATAGCTGAGTATAGTTAAAGACTTTAAGCTATGGACAAGCCTCTGGTTGATAGATTATATGCAACGAACACCCCTATAAAGTCCTGACGCTGCAGGAGAGTAGCCCTAAAGTGTAGTAACAGAATTAAAAATCTCAATGTACTTAGAATGGAAAGCATACAAAAAAAAATTATCAATCACAAATAGTTTCACATTGCATTGATATCTGCCAATAGGAGACAACATTGGCTAAGGCAGTTACACACTTTCAGGGAGGGAAATAAGAGGTAGAGGGACCTAATCAAGGAAGGTGGTACAGCCACCCCAACTCTCATGATCAAATGAAAGAATCATGAAGATAATAGAAAATAAAATAAAAGAAACAACACAAAAGGACTGAACTTTATCTTTACTAACAAAGTAACAAGTGACAGAAAAGCATTTGCTCACTGCCACATCATACTTTGTAAGGTTATAGATATTTACCCTAACAGTGTATTCAATCATTCCCTTCTCACCCTTACCCAATTCCATATAAAAACAAGGAATATTGATCTTTCACTCTCCCTACCCAACTAACTTTCTCATTTAAACATATTTATATTGTTGCACAATCATCTATAGTGAATGGTCATTATGTTTGGGGTGTCTCATCATAACAAATACAAAATGCTACTCTAAGTCAAAAAATTTGACCTTCAAAACTTTCCTCAAAAAAAAAAAAAAAAAAAAAAAAAAATCCTTTATAATACTTATCTGAACAACACTTATTTTGAAATACAGTAGTGCAGTGCCTCAAAAATGATCCTATCATGAAGGCAAATCTGGTAGTTGAAAGGCAAGTTTAGTAAGGATTGGTATCCGATATTTCTAAATGCTTGCTTAAACGCCTTAATCCCATAGGTGGGGTTGGCTACATGAACTAACACGAGGACTTCCCATGAGGTCACCCATCCTAGTTTTACTCTCAATCATTGTGGCTCATTTCATGTGATGGCCTACCGTAACCCTCCGCCATAATCTAAATGAGCTTCTTAATATTTTCTCTGCATTCATCCTTCAACCCTGATGTTATTATTAGGTAACCCAGTGTTCATCTCTGTAAATAGCATGTAAACACAAATTCTTTCCGGCAACAAATGTATCCGGTGCATATAAGAACCATATGAGTACACCACAATTAGTCAATCACAGTCCACATAACAGTGAAATAATCATACATCTGTTCAACATCACATTATTAAAGAATAAGACAGACAAATTACTCTATTACCTTAGTAAATGTCGAACAGTTTGGATGTACAATGGTTACCCATCTCTTCTGATATTAGTCTTTTACAACAATAAAACTGTTTCGATTCGAATCTAACACCTATCAGAGCATTAGTAGCTCCTAGCTCATTGGGTACTATCGGCTATTCAAATCAATCTTCATAAACTTGTCAATCCCAATTTAACATAACAAACATCACCCATCAACTCAGATATTTTCAATTATCAATTTTACTAACGTATCGTCTTGTCCATCCCAAAGGGCTCATCATTATACGCAGTCCTAAGAGCTAACTACGGAGTATAATATTTCAAATAAATAAAAACATTAAAACACTAACCAAACATACAGTAAATATCACGGAATAGACGTGATTTTGTCCTACATTCCTAAACTAGTACCAATAACAAAACCAATAATTTTGTTGATGGGCAATTTCGAAAATAATCAATAATAATGAGTAAACAGTAATAATTCATCGAAAGAGAGAGAAAAAGACCTGAAGCAGGAAGTATCAGGGGTGGGAATGTGAGAAAGATCGGAAGTCAAAGAAGGAAGATGCTCACACCATGTTCTTGGCTCCACCCAACCAGACCCACCTCCATATAACAGCAAATCTTCTTCATCTTCGAATTGCTGATTGTTTTATAGCCCAAAAATCATCAAAATTTCAAAACCCAGAAAATAAATCAAGAAATTAAGCATGATTAATTGTTCAAAAGTGAATTTATACCTCTGGAATGGCAGCTGATGAAGAAGAACAAGCCTCCCCAGCCATGTTGATGTTGTCTCCAACGCGCTCTCTCTGGGAATTCAATTTCAGTTTTTACTGCAAAATGAAAGCGTTCTCCATACGCAATCAATCAATACAATAGTAAAACAGATATCGGGAATGACATATGTCATGTCATATCAATCAATACAAAAATATTCCTTTTACCAAAAATATTATTCCAACTCCTTTTTAATTATATAAACTGAGTAATATTAAATTTTGCCAAAAAAGTAATACTCCGTAATAAAATTAATTCACATTATTGATATTAAAGAAATAACTTTAAAGCATCACTTCTATTTGTTAGATATAATAATTATTTTTTTTTTTTAAAAAAAAATTACACTTACCGTGCATGGCACGGGGCCTAAGCTAATTCAATGATAATCTGTACTACGTAGTATTTGAGTATTGTTAACCAATAAAAAAGTACTTTGTAGTAAATTGGATTAAGAATAAGGCCACCAAAATTAAATAATTTTAGCGTAAAAATTGTAAACAACCACTCTTTAAATCACCTAAAATTGATTTTATCACCCATTTTTTTGTTTATTTTGAATAACTACCCCTTAAAGTAAAAAAAATTAGAAATCACAACCTCTTAACTAAAAGTTATTGATTTTCGTGCCTAAACTTGGTATATTAAGGTTTCGGGGGTCACTTTAGCACCTAAATTTTTTTTATCAAAAATGCCTCTTTTTGAGGGTTTCACCCACATCGAGATAATTTTCAACATGAAAAACGAGGCATTTTCAATATTTTTTTTTTTCAATTCTGACCCCAAATTGAAATCAAAGGGTCAAAGTGACCCCCAAAACCTTAAAAGACCAAGTTTTTGCTCAAAAATCAATGTTTTTATTTTAAAAAATTGAACTTTTAGATAAGGGGTGCTGATTTCTAAATTTTGTTACTTTATGGGGTGATTATTTAAAATAAACAAAAAAAGGGGTGGTAAATTCAATTTAAGGTGATTTGAGGGGTGGTTATTTTTAATTTATCCTATTTTAGCTGATATTAAAATATTTTATAGTAGAAGTTAGGCTTTGTTATGTTTACCTTGTTCAATTAATATTTTTAAATTAATTTTTTTTATACGGGAAACACGAGCATCTGATTTAGTAAAAGTTGGGCTTAAATCAGCTATTACAATCTCGCGTATCTCATTAAGATACACTTTCAACTAGACTCTAAGGCCAACAAAATTATAGCTAAGTTTTGCTAAGCTATGGGCAGCCTTGTTGCCATCTTGCTTCACAAAAGCAATACGAGCAAGACTGGCAGGAGCGAACCAGTTGAAGGATGTCTTTAATTACCATACCAAAAGTCGTTGGATCAATGTTGCCTTTCCTCAAGTTGTGATATAGCTTGAGGTTGTCAGTCTCCAAGCACAACCTCACAAAACCCGCTTCAATGACAATCTTCAAAGTGTGCCTCATCGCCATAGCCTCGACCACATTAACATCAAATTTGCCATCAATTTGCAAGCACGTAAAGGCAACTACATCCCCTGATTCATCCCTCATCACACCCCTAAAACCCACATGGTTGGTATTAAAAATAGCAACGTTTGAATTTACTTTGATAATACCAGGTGAAGGAGCACTCCAGTGACTTTGCAATTTCTCAGGAATGTTATTAATAAAATCAGTCTCCCTTGCTTGCTCGAACTCACCCACAATACCAAATGCCTAGTGAATAAATTCAATCAGCTCCTTCTTCAATCCATTCATTCCTCCTCAACCAGAATCTTTATAAGTAACGTGCACTCCGCAACACTACTTCGCAAAGATAGCCCCATTATACTTCTCCATCTCTAATCTCATTGGAGATAAGAACCAAATCATCCTTGCCTTACCACAGAAAATTAACTTATGCAAGACGGTCTCTTGCATCTCCCCACACATTGGCCACAACGGTTAACAGTCATACCCTTACTAAGCAAAGTAGCACGAGCAGCAACAGCTCCTCTAACAGCCCGCTAGCCAAAATTTTTGATCTTTGGTGGGATCTCAGTTTTCCATATAATATTCCACTCAAAGTCAACTATTGCCAAGGAAATGGTAGCCTTTTCTTGAGCCTGTGCCACAGTGATCATATTATATGCACTCTTCACAGAAAATTTGCCATCCTTTGAAAAATGCCAAGTCCACAAATCCGGACTATCAAAAAGAGGAATCGAAATGTTATAAATTTCCTGCACTTCAAACGAGGTGAACAGGTTGTTCAGAGTCTGCAAATCCCACATCCTTCTATTCCGAGTTTACGCACAACAGTTAGCTAATTCTCACTCTGATCACAAGTACCTAATACATGAAATTCAGGTATATTAGGCCCAAGGATCCTTTCATATGTCAATTGAAGCCCCATTTCCCATAGTCTTCCTTAGCCCTTTCATAAGAACATCCCGCGCACCCTAAGATCGATCTCTAAGTGTAGTATTAGAGACGATCTTAGCATCCATAAAAGATGATTTAGGGAAATACTTTCCCTTTAGAACTTTCGCCATTAAAGAGTTATCTTTAGTCAGGATGCGCCATACTTGCTTCGCTAGGAGAGCTCTATTAAAATTCCTCATATTCCGAAAACCAAAACCTCCCTGCTTCTTCGGAACGTAAAATTTTTCCTAAGCCACCCAATTCATCCTTCTCTTGTCCCTTTCTGGCCCCAAAAGAAATTTTGGCATAATTTCTCAACTTTGCCAAAATTTCTCAACTTTGTATAGGATGCTCATCGGAGTAGAGAAACATTGCATTGCATAAGTAGGAATTGCTTGAGCTATTAACTTAATCAAAACCTCTCGGCCCACTTGAGATAAATATTTTTCTTTCTAACCCTTAAATTTCTTCCAGATTCTATCCTGAATATTTTGGAACACTTGTTTCTTAGAACTATCGATGTAGATTGGTAACCCTAAATATTTGTCATGTCCTTCTACAGTCTTAAAAGATAACTTCATCTGAAGTATATTCTCCGTTCTTGCTCTATGTTTCGGCTAAAGGACACCTCAAAATTATCCATATTCAGTTTATGACCAGAAGCTACTTCATAAGTAGAAAGAATACTAAGCACATTATCCACCTCCTCCTCATTAGCTCACACAAACAATAGACTATCATCCACAAAGAAAAGATGGGATATCGAATTAACATTCCGACCAATTTTGACACCATGAATGAGACGTCTATTTTCTGCATCTCTAAGCAAACTTGACAAACCTCCAGCACACATATAATAAACAGAAAGGGAAAAAGTGGGTCACCTTGTCTAAGCCCCCGACTCGACTTAAAAGATCTTGACAACTGCCCATTTACTAGTACATCAAAAGAAGCAATACTAACACACCTCATGACCAGTCCCACAAAATTTTCCGGCAAGCCTAATTTTAGGAAATTTTAGATTATAACACCATAAGTTTCTCAAAAAAATGGATTATAACACCACAAAATCTAAAACTTTTATTATAACACCACATAAAAACCAAAAAATGGATTTCACTACCTCTTAACAGATTTCATCCAAACACCCGTTAGTGGGTCCCACAATGTACACATGTCACTATTTCATTGAATTAAAAAAAAAGAAAAAACTCCAAACCCTAATCCAGCCACCACCCTCACCAACGGCAGCCTTATAAACCTATCGCTAGTAAGCCAATCCAGCCACCGAAACCTCCTCCTTCACCTTTGAAACCACCACCTAACACCCGATAAACCCAATCTCCCACCAGCCCCACCCACCACATGTCCACAGCCCCCATAATCCCACCCTAGCTCTCACCATAACCATGAAAGAGGGTCGTCAGAGCACGCGGGCCAGAGAGGGAACGAGAAGAGGGTGAGTAAGTGGTTTTCACGATTGGGAATCAGAGATGGAACGAGAAGATAGTGGGGTGGGGGGTTTCAATCCATGGTTTTGGTGGGAGTAAGGGTTTTGATTGATGGTTGTGGTGGGATTTGTGGTGGGGCTATGGTGGATTCGACTGGTGGGCGAAGGGGTTTGTCGGAGGTTAGGTGGTGGTTTCAAGGCTGTGGTGGGTTCGACTGGTGGGAAATGGAGTTTAGGTGGTGGGTTCGGCTGGTGGGCTATGAGGTTAGGTGGTGGTTCCGGTGGCTGAGGTTGGGTTGTCGGCGGTGGGGTCAAGCCTGGCGGTGGTGGGCTGGTGGCTGGGTTAGGGTTTAAGGTTTTTTGTTTTTATTTTTATTTTTATATTCTTTTTTTAAACCAATGTCTTATTGACACGTGTCCAGAGTGAGTCCCACTAACGGATCCCGTCTAAAAATCCGTTAAGTGGCGGTGAAATCAAATTTTTGGGAATTTTTGTGGTGTTATAATAAAAGCTTTAGATTATGTGGTGTTATAATCCATTTTTTGATAAATTTGTGGTGTTATTTTCTAAAATTTCCCTAATTATATCATCATTTTTCCAAAAAAAACTCCACTCAACATGATCATAAGCTTTGCTCATATCCATTTTGCGCCCTAAGTAGCCTTTCTTCCCCTTCTTTTTTCTAAGGTAATGAAAACATTCATATGCAACCAACACATTGTCCGTGATTATTCTACCCATAACAAAGCCATTCTGAGATTCATGAATCATAGAAGGAAGAACTACTTTCAATCGGTTAGCAAGCACTTTAGTGACAATTTTATACATCACATTACACGAGCTGACATGCCTATAATCAATAGGAGACTCACACATTTATTTTGGAATTAACACAATATGAGTCTGATTAATAGAACCTATATCACCATTATTATTGAGAATATCAAGCACTTTCCCAACAACATCAATACCAACTATCTCTTAAAATTTTTGAAACAAAATAGCTGACATACTAGCGAGGCCGGGAGCTTTCATAGGATGCATTTAGAAGAGAGCCATTCGAACTTTCGGCAGTGAAAGGGGCATCTAAAGAGCTAAGTTTACTTTCAGTGATGATCTGATCAACCTTGTCAATAACTGGTTCCACCTCAATGTGACTATTGGAGGCAAAATGATCATCAAAGTAGTCTACAAAAACTTAAGAAATACGATTTTCATCAATAAAAGAGCTGCCTACCGCATTTTTAATTTTATTGATGTTGTT